TTCAATCCAGTGCTGATTTTACAGCACTACACCAGGATTCCAGCTGAGTCATAGAACCAGCTGACTCATAGCCAGCTAAAAGAGACTGTTATCAATTAAAAAAAAAAAAAAAAAACCTGCACATTTTATACTATAGTAGAAACTAAGATTTTTGAAATGAAAAACAAGGTGAAGCAAGAGATGCACCGTTTTCCATACTTTTGATTTTAAAAAATTTCACAATCAAATTTCTGACAAATTTGAGTGCCACTTTCCAATACACACTTGACAACCTAGGTACACCTGTATCAGTGGTTTTCAACTGACTTGAGACCAAAAAAACGTTTAGCAATATCTAGAGATATTTTTGGTTGCCCATCTGGGGATTATGAGTTTCCAGCTGGTGTCAGGTGGGAAGAGATCTGGATACTATTAAACATGCTACAAGGCATAGCATTGTTGTAGCTAAGTGCCGTTGAGTGGGTTTCAACTCATAGTGACCCTCTATAGGGTTTCTGAGGAAGGGCTAGTGGGTTTGAACCTCTGACTGTGTGGTTGCAACCAACCTCAGGACTCCAAGGCACAACATGTTGTTGTTAAGTGCTGTCAAGTTGGTTCTGACTCATAGTGACCCTGTATAGGGCTTCCTTCCGAGGAGCAGCTGGTGAGCTTGAACTTCCGACCTTCAGATCAAACCTACCTTGCAGTCCAGCGTATTAACCCACAGCGCCACACCAGGACACAGTATAAGGCCTGCCGCCCAACACACACACACAATAAATAATTACTCTAACATCAATGGCTATCATGCAGAGGCTAAGGAAATCAACTTTGGTTCCCTCATTTCCCAGAGTGCAATTCTTGCAAGAATATTCATCATTCCACCTCCACCACTCTACCTCCACCCTGCACCAACCCATTCTTTCATCTGCTGTGATCTTTTCTCATCATTAGAATCCACAGACATTTCTTGGTTGACCACTATGTGGCAATTGTGTTATCAACTTATTTTTTGTTAGCTAAAAATTATTACTTGGTCTTTCTTAACATTGCCCTAACCACACCATATCATTCTAATATCTCTTGAGAGCCCAGATGCTTCTGATCACACTTAAAAATGAATTTTCTAAGCATGGGAATGACTTCTACCCTTACTAACTACTCCCTGCACAGAGTCTATTTGGGCAATCATGTCAACTCCTATCTATTCTGATGGTTTTGGCCACTACATGGAAAGACTTCCCTTCCCATTTCTTGTTGTTGTTAAGTGCAGTGGAGTGGGTTGTGACTCATGGCGATCTTGTTTAGGGTTTTTGAGGAATAGCTAGTGAGTTTCAACTGCTGACCTTGAGGTTCAAACCGACTTTGCAGTCCAGTGTGTTACCCTAGAGTGCCACACCAGAACTCCGTTTCAGTTCAAGGAGCTCTTTTGTTAAAAACTGAACGTTAGATATTCTTTTACCCAAATATCTCAGGGAATGTCAAATAATACTATCTAAGTTGGCATATTCCTCTTTCCTTTCTAAAGTTACTTCTCTGGTATTTCCCATCTATATGGATGACAGCATTCAATTTCCAGTTACTCAGCTAAAAATGAATCTGGGAATCTCCCTCTATTTCCCACCACCCTCTTCCGCATTTCCCATATCAAATTGTATGCAAAGTGATGTGATTTATAATTCCTAAATATGTTTTAAAACATTTCCTACTTTCAATCTTCACAGATGCTTCCATAGTTTGAAATCTAAGACTATTTCTTTTCAGGAATATTTGATAATTTTAACTTTTCTCTAACTTAAGTTGTCATCCTTTTAATGTAATCTCTTACTTTCTTTCAAAGAATCTCCATTATTTAACAACAAAGAAAGTCTACATATTATGATTTGGCACATGTCTGACTTGCAAACCTATTCTTCTCACCTCCATTACCCTGTGACAATCCCACATCAAGCTAACTGCAAGTCCCCAAACACACTTAAGTCTTCTGTTTTTTCTTCCTGGATGACTTTTCACTTCAGTTTTCACTCGATGCATTTTAGCCGGTCATTCAACTCAGAGATCCTCTTAAAATTCTTTTGAATTAATCCATCTGGGAAGGAGGAAATACTCTTCCTTTTGGGATTCTAAAGAGTCTTAGTGTGATGCTGTAGGATGTGCACTTGACCTCACGATTGGTGGTTCAAACTCACCAGTTGCTCCTCGGAAGCCCTACACAGGGTTGCTACGAGTTGGAAATGACATGATGGCATTAAACAACAACATTATACCTTTTGGGAGCATGGTATCTTCAAATGATAAGCACTGCACTGTAAACCACAAGGTCAGCAGTTCAAGCCTACCAGCCGCTCCTGGGAGAAAGATGAGGCTTTCTGCTCCCATGAAGATTTAAAGCTTGGAAATCCTATATAGGGTCACTATGAGTCAGAACCGACTCGGCAGTAGACAGCCACCACAATTACACATGTTATTATGTTTACATTTTTTATTAATTATCTATTTGCATGTTGAGTCCTGGTGTGGTGCTATTGGCTACTTACTAACCACAAGGTCAGCAGTTCTAACCCACCAGTCATTCCTCAGAAAATCTATACAGGGTGTCTGTGAGTCGAAACTGGGTATTTGGCACTTAACAACAACAGCAATTTGCATGTTTGTCACTCCAGCTAGATAGTGGACTATTTGTGAATAGACGGCAGTGTCTATTCATTGTTGTTGTTGTTAAGTGCCGTCGAGTTGATGCCAACCCATAGCAACTCTGTATATGGTTTCCAAGAGGCAACTGGTGAGCCTGAACCACCGATCTTGCAGTTTAAACAACTTTGAAGTCTGACGCATTAACCCACAGTACCACACCAGGACTCCGACATATTCATTACTCTACAGCAAATCATCTTCCAGTACATGGAATCTCAGTTTCCTTTAATAGATAAATGGATTGATGAGTCAATGACTGAACCTTTGCAATGACTTTTCTAAAATGTGAAGGCTAAACATTTATATAATCTGCAGCTGTTCCTCAATCACTTTACAAATACACATCTTGGTGACCAATAGGTACTGAAAAATCAAAATGTTTTGACTTCGAGTTCCCATTTTATTACTTTAGATGATGCACAAAGCAAAAAGACAGTTGAGCTAATGTGAAAGAGATGAGTAAATATGAATATTATTTGATCTCACATTTCCTCAAATGTCATGAACTGTTGACATGGCATTAGAAGAAAGAATTTTATTCACCAGCTAAATCCAATTTAGAAGCCATCTTGTCTGCCTCTGTAGGACAGAAGTAATTCAAGTATTTCTCAAAGCTCATTATTTAATTTAAAAAAATATACTACTGTCACATTACAGGCAAAAAACCCATGATTTAAAGTGTGTCTTTGAAAATAGTTTGATTCATTATTAATGATGAAATTAGAGAAAAGAGCAATCCTTTTAGAGTAAATAAAACCACCAAATACACATATTGGGAGCAAATCTAACAAAGCTTAGATAAAGAGGAAAAATAAAGTTTAACTGCTCAACAGTGAAATGAATGACCAATTCAGAAAAAAAAAAAAAAAAAAAAGTTTAGAAGTAAATTTTTTTAAGTATGAAAAAAGTCATTTCATGATAAACAGATAAGAGAAATTAACAATATTAAAATTATTAATTTTCATTTATACAAAACAAATCAGGCTTCATTTAGAGGGTTTTTCCAAATACATTTCAATTCCTTAGAACTAAGAATTGAAAAAGGCACCAGGCTAGAGCTGTAGGGTAAGCACTGTTCAAATCCACCCCACATTCTGGGGGAAAAGGTGGGGCTTTCTGCTCCTGTAAAGAATCACAGCCTCAGAAAACCTATACAGGATTTCTCTGAGTCAGAATCAACACAATGCTAGTGAGTTTGAGAATTAGAAGATTCAGGATCTGATTTTGAATTTCCCATCAACTTATCTAAATTTTAGTTCACTTAAGAAATCTTATTTCTGGAACTTTTAGGCATATTGAACTATTTCAATGTCCGATTTTGTTGATAAAAATGTCCCCCACCAGACCCCTTTAGGTCAAAAATGACAAGTATTCTTATTATTGACACATTTCAAGCATCACTGGCTTCCAGGTTCCTGGTAAAAACTATGGAACAGAAGACTTAATGCAGGAAAGCAAAAGTTTTCATTGGGAATTACAAATAAGAAATTTCAGGGCTTTGTTTAATAAAAGATGCTTTTTTGTTTTGAGAATCTCAAAGGAACATATTCACAAGTTTTGCAACCCAATGTAATACCACATAGCATGAGGTTACAAAGATAAACTCTAAATAGATACATGAGACCATGAACTACCATTTATAAGCCCCTCCCATCTACATCAATAAAGAGACTGCATTCTAAAAACTCCTCAATCCCCTTTATTTAAGAAGGCCTATGTGTGCAGCCAGAAAAGTTAAAGCTACAAACTTCTTTTAGGTAGTTTTTGATGTTTTAATGATACTCGGTTTTGAAACAAATTTATACTTAAAACAGACAGCTGAGCTTCAAAAACTTACAAAACTGTATAAAATACAACCTTGAGTCTTCCCCTACAAACAATATTTTTTCATTTGAATTTGCTTTGCAAAGTAATCCATGAAGCTATTCAGCCAATATCCAAATTGATCTTGATTTACCAATATATATAATTGCATATGTTAATATGCACAATATTGGATTTAAACCTTAAAGTTGATGTCCTGTTACATGTACTTTTCCTTTTAACACAACCAACTTTAATACATAATTATATTACTTGTTAGTTATTCAAATTATTAACATAACCAGCAGCACCATAATGATTTAATATAAAACTCATTGCAACAGTCCTGGTTTGACATTTTTGCCAGCTATATTTGAAGACCAGAAAGCAAAATTATGCAGAATGTATTGTTTGGGTCTATAAGCATTAAGCTCTAGTAGGAACAAAATCATTGCTTGTTAAAAAAAATACCAGTAGTAAACATAAATGTAGTGCCATTTATGAGGCACGTTCTATTCACTTACATGCCACTTCCAGAGATGCATTTCGACTCACGGCTTCACCAAGATAGTTCCTTGCAACACAAACATAGCTTCCTTCATCAGGCTTACTTCTGCGCCCATGCACAATGCGCAAGAAGAATAAGGATCCGCTGGGCAGAAGCATCCTGTGTGACCTGGGATCATCCTTGTCAGTCTCCACCCGCTCACCATCCTTGTACCACTCAATGGTGGGCATTGGCCGGCCCTCTGCCTTGCAGTTCAAAGTGGTGGGCTCTCCCTTAGAGACAATGACATCTGAAGGGTGCTCCACAATCCGTGGGGGAAAGTCTTCCTGGCGAAGACGAGATCCTACAAAACATGAGAGAATGAAGACAAGCTTTAGCATTTCTTTATCTACAGTTTTTATTTCACTTAAGTTCATGATAGTGAAATTAAGCTCTTTAATTATTCAAAATGCACTTACTAGCTTCTTATTTATATTTCACTCTTGTTTTTATGCCGCTCATAAATCATCCTAACTCCTTTGTGGTATGAGACAATATAACAATAAATTAGTATGTTAATACAGATGAAGTAGGTTAAACACAGTGAATCATCATGACAAGTAAAAGGAAAAAGGGAAGAGATTTTCTTTGGGGACTGACTGGTTTGAATGAATACATAAAGAAATAAAGCTAAGTGTCTGTCCTCAAGGTGTATACTATCTACTGGATGAATGATGTAACAAGGCAAACTAACAAGAATACACCCAAAGCTACCATTTGTCCATTTCCTGTGCAAGCACTGTGTTATCAGACTTTAGCATCTAAAGTAACCTGAAAGCTATATACATTGCACATATTATATTAATTTTAAAGTGATGAAGAAGCTTAGGAAATGATATCAACTGTCCAAGAATACAGATGAAATATAAACACATGAAGTATTGCCAGGATTTGAAGCCAGATGAGGCTGAAAGAGGAACTCCAATACATTGTTGCTGTTAAGTGCCATTGAGTCAGTTCTGACTCATAATGACCCTGTAAAAGGGTTCCAAGAAGTGGCTGGTGGGTTTGAACTGTCAACTTTGTGGTTAGTAGTCCACTGCTTATCCGATAGCACCACACCAGGACTCTAATTCTAGCATAAATCTCTGTTAAAGCAAATGTTGCACAGAAGTTCAAGAAATGCAATGGGGATGGGGGGCAGGTAACACTCATAATGGATAAGAGACTGCGTTCTAAAACAAAGTAATTTGATCTTGAATGATTGAACATTCCTTGGTGAACATATCTTACTAGTGTTGTTTTACTCCCTATATAGCTATCTGCTTCTTGGCTGAAAATTGAGCCATGAGGTTAGGTTCTGTTTTAGACCTAAAGGGTGATGGAGAGCCCTAGTCTCACATTTCTTCAGTCTCTTTCTGACACATAAATCCAGCCTTTTTATGTAACTGTGAGTTTTGTTCCACATTTTCTTCCATTTTATCTGGAGTCATGGTGCAGCACTATAAGATAAGCACCAGACTGCTAACTGCAAGGTTGATGGTTCAAATCCACCAGTGGTTCTTTGGAAACACTGTACCGGGTCACCATGAGTTGGAACTGACTCAAAAGGCACAGGTACCTTCTAATGTTATCCCTTTCAGAGCAGTTGACGATCAAAAGGGCAACACTGACCTAAGAACAAAGTTGAGAAATGATGAGAAAGAAGGTGGAATAGGAATAGGAAGCACAGGGAGGAAGCGGGATAACTGATGTTGCATGGAGGGGATTGCAGTCATGGAGATGAAACCAAGTGTAGGATGCACTGCAGGTAAAACAGGGGATCTCTGTAAACCTTCACTCAATTCACAATACACTTTTTAAAAAAGGATTCATTTGAATTCAGCTCTAAAGGATAAAAACCATATGAACTGAGGTAGAAATGCATTGTGACAGAAGTAGCACCCTGAACAAAAGTACTGAGATGTGAGAATAGCTTGCACGGTACATTTTCTAATTAATAAGGAAGTTGACGTTGCATGGGAGAATCAAAAGTAATGTTGGATCCAGAGCAGAAAACACTTGGAATAAAATGCTAAGAAGTCAGAATGTCTTTCTGTTTGGCTAATAATTTTTGAAGAACAGTGACATTGTTGTTGTTGTTGTCAGGTGCCATCGAGTCGGAACCGACTCATAGCGACTCCATGCACAGCAGAACGAAACAATGTTCGATACTGGGCCAACCTCACCACCGCTGCCACCCCCGAGTCCATCAATGATGCCACCTGGCCGATCCATCTCGT